CAATGTGGTCAATAAATAAACTTTTTTTTTTTTTTGCTTTAAAACATTAAGAGTTAGTTTTAGAGATGTTTATTGCAATAAACATAGCCTAAACAGCAGCTCAACTAATACAGTTAGCATGTCCTGAACTGAATGGCTGAACTTCCAGGCTCCCAGCACAAAGCTGCTAGTTCCTCAGAGATCCCCACTTCATGAATGGCAGCTTTAGCCTTCCAGTTTTCAGACCAAGCTCTTTAGTTGTCTTTGATCATTCTCTGAATCTCACATGCCACATATAGACAGGGGGGATACACTGATGTACAAAGGAGACACAAAAGATAATAATTGCTCTAGAGATTAGTCAATGAGGATGAAGTAGATGATAATGAGTAAGCATCCTAAATTAAATATGTAGTATTTGAATATATACCATACATATTACTATTACTTAGTATTACTACTATGTAATACTAAGTATTTAAATTTAAATATGTAGAAGGTAATGCATGTGTGTCAGTAAGCTTTTCATCACTGTAACAAAATACCTGAGAAAAGAATTTAACAGGAGATGGTTATTTTGGTTCATGGTTTCAAGGTCAGTTGCATTTTGGTCCAAGGTCAGCTGGCTCCATTGCTTTTAGGCCTGTGGAAAAGCAGAAACATAATGGCAGAGAGTCATGACAGAGGAAAACTTTACCTTATGGCAGCTGGGAAGCAGAGAGTAAGAACAGAAGGGGACAAGATGTGCCCTTCACAGGTATACCCACAATGACCTGCTTTGTCCAACCTGCCCTCACCTCCTGATAGCCCATTCAGCTATGAGCTCATCAATGGATTAATCCATTGAATAAAAAAAGGCAGAAACCAAACATTAATAGACACAAAGGTGTCTACTGATGAGGTGAGGGCCCTCATGATCCAGTCACCTCTCAATAGCACACAAATTGGGGATCAATCCTTTAAGAAATAAGGCTTCATATGCAAACCATAACAGCATGATATGGAAAAAAATAAAGCAGGTGAAGGGGAAGAGAGTACTAGGGGTGAGAGTGAGGTGATATGTTTGCAAGATTAACCAGAGTTGACTTCATTGAGAAAGAAACATTTCAGCAAAGAGATGAGAACTGTAGAACTCTTGGCATATGTCTCTGTCCAAACCTCTATACTCAGAGACAATCAAACTCTTATACAGCAGAACACAGGCAGTTCTGTGAGATGACCCCGGCACTAGCACCACCATTTCCAAATGATGAATTTAGAATGTCAGAACTTACTGTTTGCTCCAGCCATCTCCTGACAATAGGCTCTTGACTTTCTTTTCTCAGAACATGTACAAAAAAGGGCTTCCAATTGTGAATCAGTCTCTTCTGTAACTCTGAAGTATTTTCTTAAGGATGTGAAAGTCATTCCTTTGAAATGTAATTACCAGGAATATAGGGCCCCATTTCCCAGTCTCAGTGAGAAGATAGAGCCCAACTTTGATAATTGCCAGCAAGTAGACACAGCTGGAATAATCACATCTACACTGATATGAGTTACTTCTCGGACTACTTGAACGCTTCCATTCTCAATATAAAACACCCAGTCACTTTTATGCGTAACAGAATGGAGCTCAGCTCTACCCCAACTATCAGTAATTACTGAATAATCTGTTTTCATCACTTTGATGGACTTGGAAAGGATGAGAAGAATAAACCATATGACTAGTTTCCACAGCAGAGGGATTGCCAAGGCAGAGGCTCAAATGCAGCAGCATGCCTCACCTGCACAAGTAATAAGGAGTCTAGTGTAACCAGAGTAGAGAAAGTGATGGTAATATTAGTGACAACTGCTGTCAGAAAGGAAAAGGTGGGAAGATGGCACAGAATGTAGAGACCCACAGGCCTCAGAGGTAAGAACTCTCAACAGGATAAGGATGCTGAGCAGAGGAATGACATGATCTGGGTTGAGACTAGATATTAATTAATGGGATTGGAGGACAAGGCTGGAAGTAGGAAGTCCAGTAAGGAGTAATGCTGGCTGGGTCATGGGTGGCAAGTAGTGATAACATCAGATTCTGGATGCATTTTATTTCCTCATAGATAGGATATGAGGATAAAAAGGAAGCATCAGGTATGATCTCATCGTTTTTGTTCTGAGTAGATGGCAGAACAGAGTGTCCCTCAACTGAGATGTAGCAGATTTTGGTGAGGGTAGGGGAAAGGAGCCCCTGTAGGAACTCAGTTTCAGACGTATTTGTAGTGTCTGTTATATGGGTGCATGCAGTGGTTGGCAGGCGGTTGGATATTCTAGAGTTCAGGGAAGAAGTCTATGCTAGAGATTCAAATTTGAGAATTTCTGATAAATATATGTTATTGAAAGCCACAAACTCCATGAAATGACCAAGTGAGTAAGTGTAACTGAAAAGAAGAGACAAGAACCTAGGACCAAAGCCCGCCAATATTGACAGAGCTTTGGAACAGCAGCAGCAAAGGAGATTGAGAAGGATGGTAGGTAGCAAGACAAGAAAGAGGTGTCCTGGAGACCAAAAGAAGAAAGGTTTACGAGGGAGAGCAAATGACCAGTTGTTGCTGGGAGGAGGAAAACTAAGATGTTCCTGTTAGATTTAGTGACATGGAGGTCATTGTTGACCTTGACAGCAGTAGTTTAGATGGAGGTGTGGCAGCAAAAGCCTGAAAGGAGGCAGTGTAAAAATAAGAGACAGGGATTAGTAAGAGTATAGACCACGTTTTTGAGGAGTTTCCTTACAAAGAGGAGCAAAGAAATAGGTTAGTCAGTGATGGAGAAAGTGATGCTTAAAGTTGGTTCTTAATAAGTGTTTGTTACGAATAACAATAATGACAGATCCATATTGCATTTTTCAAGCAAGGCAATATTATGGTGCATAATTGTACATGCAACATAGTTGTGCATAGGGCATCATTACCATCCTCATCTTAAAGATGAAGAAACAGTATCAGCACAGAAAGATAAGTAACTTAGACAAAGTTTTCACAGATGGAATTAAAAATTATGAAGCAGCACTCTATTTCTTAAGTAGATTTAAAGTTAGCATATTTTCGAACAACTTGAATGGCTGTTCCCAGGGAGAGTTATCCAGAACATGCACTGGCAGTGGCTCTGCCTGTGTACACACATGGCATCTGAACTTTTTATTATGCCCACACTAGGACACATCCTATACATAATTTTAAAATATGTTACGTTGTTCCCCCCACTTCTGTGTCAAGTTCAAATTTAGGGAGTTAGAAGAAAGTCTTGCAACAGCCAGGTGAGAGAAACAATCTCGGGTGTCACTAGGTGTGCAGTCAGAACAGAAGCAATGCTGTGCAGGTGTCTGTGCCAGTGTAGGGGAAGGGTCTTTTGAGTGTATGTATGTGGCTTTAGGTATCCCTGTGGATGTATTTATGAGTCAACTTTCACTGCTCCAGAACTTGAGCAGGAGGCTTAAATCTCCAGGTCTTTCTGTGCTATTATATGGGCACAATGTGAATTAACATACTCTTATTTGTGGTGTTCTTATATACTGTGAAATCTGAACACTCTTAGGCAGTGACCTTGCTCCTAATCATTGTTTTGTTCATCAGGCAATTGTTAAATGACTACCTACATGCAAAGTACTGTACTTGGCATATGGGAGTTTCAAAGGAACACACTCTTATTGTCAAAGAATCTAATTTCTAGTTAGAAAATATGTACATAGTTATAAGATATAAAGTTCTACAAGAGAAGCAGTAAAATATTACTATGCCTGTTCACAAGAGAAAGTGCTTATTTCAGTTTGGTTAGTCAAAAAACATTTTATGAAGGAGGTAGCATTTGAGAAATGGTTTGGAAGGTGGATTTGGATGTATAGAGGTGGGAAACAAGGATACTTCACAGGAAGCAGAAGCAGAGCAATGTGATGGTATTGTACAGATATGGAAAACAGTGAATATTTACATTTGGCAGTCTTGTGTACTGATTCTTAATCCTGCCTTGAACTGCAGAGGAGCGGTAAAAGCTATTGTAGTGGTTTTATACACAACAGAGCCAACTACAAAAGGAATTAAAAATATCTTGAATGCATATGTTCAACTACCTCCCAAATAGGTAATTGTTTCTGATTACTACAGCATCAATTCACTCAAAAACATTACTGATTCACAGTGGGACTTTGTTATTATGAGTTTCCCAAATCAAAAAATACTAGTGGCAAAACTACTTATAATGAGGTAGTCCAATGAATTTTTCAGTGTTTTAAGAGTTGTGGCCAGCCATGTGGCACATGCCTGTAGTCACAGGACATAGGAGGATTGAGAGTTCAGGCCAGCCTCGGCTACATAGGACAGTGTCTTGAGAACAAAAAAAAAGTGTTCAAAAAGGCTGATGGGTTCTGGAGTAGGAAACATCTTTGTCTTCTGGACTTTGTTACTATAAATCAGCTACGTGGTACTGGGTTTGCTTATCATCTCAGAAGCAGGGATTATAAAATCAATCTTGTTTGTTTTGACGATTAGAGAAACTCAGAGCACATTTTAGACACTCAGCAGGTGCTAAGTATTATAAAAAGAAAATCTGAGTTAAAATCATAGCCCACCTTCAGTATCAAAGTAAGGAATTGGTACATTTCTTTGCAGGGTGTGCCGGTGGTGGTGTAAATGAAGCATGGTGAGGCACTGGCAGTGAACTTCTGAAATTTTTTTTAGACCATCAACTAAGCCCTTTCTGGTATATAATGAATGTGAGATAAGACCACTATTTTGACCTAGCTGGTGCTGTTAACAAAAAGTAAACAGAGGGCATTAAGTTCAATTTGAATATCCTGAGCTTAAATTCTAAAACTATTGTTGCTTCGTGCGGCACACACAAAGCACCAAGCACATCTCTGCTAAAACAGTGCCGTATAAATTTTGCTTATTCTCTTAAAAGTACGAATTTTAAAAAATTAAACTTCTAAGGATTTTTTTTTTTTTAAACGGCAGCGTAATACACTAGGAATACACAGTACTACTTCGTCCATACGGAATACCCAACAGGTTCCATGTGGCCTGACGTTACCGCGCCACGCCAGGTGACGTCAGCACGACGTGCGGCAGCCTCCTACGTCTCAGCGGACGTCGTGCGTCATTACCGAAGCGAGGAGGCGGGGCGACTCCGGGTAGGCCCTTGCTCGCCTCCTAGTGGCAGCTGGTTTCGCGGTCCCATGCTGGCTGCGTCGCCCTCCCTCTTCAGTTAATCCGGGTTGCCAGGAAGTCCAACTTCCGGCCCGGCCCAGCGTCAGGCGAGGAGCGACGCCTCGAGGTGAAACGGAGTAGGTGCGGGGGACGGGCCTTGCGCCGGCCCAGAAGTGCTGGCTCTCGGCTGCCGGGGCGAGTGTAATGGCGGAGGAGCAGGTGAGCTACGGCGTGGAGTCAGCTCCCGACGGTAAGGTAGCCTCGGCCGCAGGACCTGCGGTGTCCTCGACGGAGACCTCCGAGGTCGCCGCAAAGTCACCGGAGCCCAGGGACTACGACAGCAGCTGCGTGTTCTGTCGGATCGCGCTGCAGCAGGAACCCGGCGCTGAGCTCCTGCCCTGCGAGGTGGGCGGCGACGTGGCTGGGGTGGGTGGGGACCCGGTGGGTGGGAACCCGGCCGCCCTTGAGCCCGCTCGGGTCTCCCTGCTCGGGGTGGATCGAGCGGGGGACGCTGGGTGTCACAGGGGCCTCCCTCAGGGGACCGCAGTGTCCCCAGCGGTGATTTTGCTGTTTGGATCCAGATATTTCTGCCTCCCTCTGCAGGTGCCGAGATATATGGCATAAACTAGCATTTTTGGGCTCTGTGCTTTTATTACAGATTCTTTCTTCCTTCTTTCTAGATACTGATTTTTAAACTCTGCTCTTTGATACAGAGAAGAAAAAAGTAGAAAATAACAGACGGTCGTTGTGAAAAGCTTTTTGTTAGGTTGATTGAAGAAAGTCTGGGATGGGGGTAGAGAAATGGGTCTGAAGTTCAACCATTATTTAACAGCCTCTGATTTCACTGTTACCAGCTGAGATGTGTGGAAATTTTCAGAGACTTAAGACTTCGCCCAGATATTTTAAGACAGATACGTGGTACACACTTTGTTGTACGTGTTCTACTTGTCTTTGAAAAACAATAATCATTTGAGACAATCAGCTGCAAAGATTGTGTAGTAGTCATTCGTTCTTTCATTAAAAACAAGTTAAGGAGTTTTGTCTTTATCTGAGGAGTAAAAAGAGAAGTTCTAAAATATTTAATGCTGGGCTGGGAGAAAGGGGTTGAAGAATTACATGAAGAGTTCTGCTCTTTGAAAGGTCTTTCTGGCACCATTGTAGAGAATGACTTGAATAGAACCAGACTGGAAGTATGGCAATCTATTAGGAGACTATTGGAGTGATCTAGTTTGTTGGTGGCCTGAAATAAGAATATGGTAGTGAGGATGAAGGAAAGTGGATAAATTTAAGAAATATTTAGGAGGTAACAGGCAGGACTCATTGGAGAATTAGATGAGAGATTCTTAACTATGAACTTTTGGCAATGTCTTGAAGTAGTTTTGGTTGTAACAACTGTGTAGCTGGGGGGGGGTAGGTACTGGCATTTAGTGGATAGAGGTCAGGGATGTTCTCAACATCATACAATGCACAGGACAGTTCCCCACCTTAAAAAAAAAAAACTAAAGAATTATCTGGCCCCCAAATGCCAACAGTGTGAAGAGTGAGAGACACTGATTTATATATAGGCAGATGAGGAAGGTAAAGAAGGGGAAGTCCAAGATGATTTCCAGGGTTCTGGCCACCATAAGCTACATAGAGAGCAGTTGAAGTACTTTGTGGGGAGAGGGCAGAGGTAGCTTACAATTGATTGAGAAGAACCTGGGAGGTGGAAGAGTGAAAACAGCAAATATGGATGACTCTTAACAGGTATTTAGCAAACAGGAGAAGTTAGGGATTAAGGGAAAGCTTTTTAAAAATAGTAAAGTGTTTGATGTGTTCAATCCTGATGGAAAGAACTTGGAAAGAGGTTTAAAATACCCCAGAAATATGGGACTTTGTCCTTGGGAAAGAGAAAAGAGTCTTTCATTTTTTCACTCAATATTTTTTTTTGAAGTAAAAGTACTAGTAAAATTTAATAGGAAAGGAATTTAGCTTAACAGTTTAAAAGTGGGGAGAAATAGGGAAAAAAGGGAGAAACCTTTCCTGTTTCCCATACAAGAAATGGGAGTAAAGACTCAACATGGTGGGTCTTATCTCTGGTTTTATACTTTCCCAGTTAGGAGCATATGGGGGAATACACATGGCCATTAAGATAATGGATCTGTCTATGCCTCAAAGACCCAAAAAACTCACCAAAAACTTCTAGACACCATAAACAGCTTCAGTAGTGCAGCAGGATACAAAATCAACTTAAAAAATCAGTATCCTTTCTATACGCCAACAATGAACAAATCGAGAAAGAATATATGAAAACAATTCCATTTATAATAGCCTCAAAAAAATACCTAGAAATAAACTTAACAAAGGATGTGAGTGACATCTATGAGGAGAAGTACAAACCAATGAAGAAAGAGATCAAAGACTGCAGAAGGTGAAAGACCTTTCATGCTCATGGATTGGCATAACCAACATAGTAAAAATGGCTATAACACCAAAAGAAATCTACATGTTCAGTGCAGTTCCCATCAAAATTCCAATGACATTCATCACAGAGTTTGAAAATTCTACCCTAAAATTAATTTGGAAACACAAAAGAATGCAAATAGCCAAGGCAATACTGAGCAAAAAAGAGCAGTGCTGAAGGTATCACAATACCTGACTTCAAGCTATAGTACAGAGCCATAGCAATAAAAACATAAGGTACTGGCACAAAAATTGATGAAGACCAGTGGAACAGAACAGAGGACCCAGATATGAATCCACACAGCTATCCCAACCTTATTTTTGACAAAAGTACCAAAAGCATACAATGGAAAAAAGACAGCCTCTTCAACAAATGTTGCTGGGAAAAGTGCTTATCTGCCTGCAGAAAACTGAAACTAGATCCATGTCTATCACCCTGTGCTAGTATCAACTCACCATGTATTAAGGACCTTAGTATCAGACCCGAAACTCTGAAGTTAGAACAGGAAAGAGCAGGGAATACTCTGGAAGCAATAGGTATAGGCAAGGACTTCCTCAATAGAACTCCAGCAGCCCAGCAACTAAGAGAAAGTATGGACAAATGGGACTACATGAAATTAAAAAGCTTCTGTACAACAAAAGAAATGGTCTCTAAATTGAAGAGACCACCCACAGAGTGGGAGAAATATTTGCTAGCTATACATCAAAGGACCGATAACCAGAATATACAGGGAGCTCAAAAAACTAAACTCCCCCCAAATCAATAAACCAATACAGAAGTAGGCAACTGAACTAAACAGTACTTTTTCAGAGGAAGAAACCCAGATGACCAAAAAAACACATGAAAAAATGCTCACCATCCTGGCTGTAAAGGAAATGCAGATCAAAACCATACTAAGATTCCACCTCACCCCTGTTAGAAATGGCTAGCATCAAGAATACCAACAACAAATACTGGCAGTGATGTGGGGAGAAAGGAACCCTTATACACTGCTGGTGGGAATGTAAGCTAGTACAACCATTTTGGAAAATAATATGGAGGCTCCTTAAAAATCTAAACATAGATCTGCCATATGATCCAGCAATAGCACTCCTAGGAATATACCCAAAGGAATATGACTCAAGTTATTACAAAAGCACCTGTACACCATGTTTGTTGCAGCACTATTTACAATAGCCAAGCTATGGAAACAGCTAAGATGCCCCACTACTGACGATTGGATCAAGAAAATGTTGTATTTATACACAATGGAATTTTACTCAGCCTCAAAGAATGAAATTTTGTCATTTGCAATGGATGGAATTGGAGAACATCATCTTAAGCGAAGTTAGCCAGGCTCAGAAGGCCAAAAATCGCATGTTCTCCCTCATATGTGGATTATAGACCTAAACAAATGCAGTAATATTATTGGACATGGGTCACACACTGAGGGAAGAACATTCATGGGAGAAATAGGGAAAGGAAAGGAAACCTAAAACTTGAATGTGGTTGATGTGCTCCCTGTATGGGAAAGTGATCAGGAAGTAACAAGAGGTCTGGTAGAGATGAACCTAGTGCATGGAAGTAGTGCTAGGAATCCTCTGTATAGTTGTCTTTATCTCAAACTAGCAAAAATGATATGTCTTTCTTATTATCTCCTATGTTTTCTGTTTAACAAAATTGGAGAACAAGAGGGTGGAACAGGTTCTGCCCAGAAGCAGGGGGAGAGATGGCACAAACAATGTATATACATGTAAGTAAATGTAAAAACGATAAAAGGAGAAAAAAAAAAGATAATGGATCTGGGTGGCTAAGATGGGTGCTAAAACCAGAAGGTGTCATTTAGGCCTACTCAAATCACAGGGAAAATAGGTGTGCTTTAGGACTTCCCTGCCATCCCAACTATACAGGAGACCTGCAGTAGGATTGCAGTCTGAGGCTGGCCCTGGCAAAAATGTGAGACTCTATCTAAAAAATAACTAAAAGAGTGACAGAGGGCTGGAGACATGGCTTGAGTGGTAGAGCTCTTGCCTAGGAAGCTTCAGGCTGAGTTTAAACCCCAGTAGAAATAAACAAGCAAAACAGCAACAACAAAACCCAGAATGGGATGGTCCAGACTTCTATCACATCTGGCTGAACCAAAGATCAGACCTGCTTTTTTTTTTTTTTTTTTTTTTCAATACTAGGGGTTGAATTTGGGGCTTAGTGCTTGCTAGGTATGGACATGTATATAAAGGAAATTAAGTTACAGTCAATGGTTAGGAATATAGCTCTGGGATAAAGAGCTGGCCTAGCAGGCACAAGGCTCTGGGATCTATACAGAGTCATCCCCCCGCAAAAAATAATAAATAATACTTTTAACTAATTTGCACTGTAATAAAAAATTAGTAAATAAATAAATACATACATAATTGAACTAAGCAAAGGCTAGACAATGCATTTTTAGCAGGGGATGTATCATCCCAAGGCCATCAAAGTTTGCTTTGGGATGGAGGAGGCAATATCTTACTTGTTTCATGTTTGGGGCGCAGGTGTACAGAGATAGAGAGTAGATAGAATAAATACAGAGTATATGTGTGGTATTACAATCTCAGGATCTTTTTTTTTTTTTTTACTGTACTGGGGGCGTTGAACTAAAGGCCTTGTGTTTGCTAGACTGGGGCTTTGCCTCTTGAACCATTTTGCCAGCGCTTGTGAAATGTCTTAAAAGTCTCCTAGAGTGGAAAAATAGTTGAGAGACACTGGATTATATTTCACTATGCTTGATTCATATTCAGGAAATATCTTGTGCTAATTTAACTCCTTTAATTAATATTGTCCTAGTACCTGGTACTGAAATGTTCTTTCAAATGTTATTTATTTTTATTTGCTTTAGCTATCAGTCAGGATACTGTTGATGGAAAGAACTGTTCCTATCATTTTAAGCAGAAATTGATTTAATATTGGAAATTACTACATTGGAAGGACTGGAGGATCAGGTTCT